ACGAGTGCCAAGTTCTTCTCTCCAACAAACACTGCAAATAAACCAAGAGAAGGAAGGAGTGAAAAAAACGTAAAGGCTGATGAGATCGCAGCAGGGAAACCAAACCGAAGTTGTACATCGAAGTACAGATGAAGAAGAAAGCTCGGAAATGACGAGCACGCCCACACCACAAGCAAGGGCGACGAACAAAAGCCTCGCCAAGTGGTTTGCAGCAGCATCCCTATCCTGAAAAACAAAAAAAGAGGAAAAAAAAAAAAAAAGAGCCTATCATCAAAAGAACAAACTCTCAACAAGCAAACCTTGTGAGCAAGAGATGTTGCGATCAAGTTGGACGTCGCCACAGACAAGAACATAAACAAGTAGGATAAACCATCGCAAAGAACAGTCCCAGGGCCTATAGAAAAGAGAAAAAGAATCCATGATCAACGTGAAGAAAATGGCTTACCAAGAGCTGCGAGCTCCAAGGAGCTGCTAGTCCCGATAACACTGGTGTCGATGAGGCTCATGATCGGGCCGGACAACCAGATCCCCAGCGCTGGCCCAGCAAACGTGAAAATCTGCCGCATCTGTTCGAGCATGTTGGTGGCGCCGCTCAGGCTTGTTGCTGTGGCAACCTTTGCATTCTCTTCTCCTCGACTCGTGGGAGAAGCAGCGTCAACACCACCATCGTGCGGCGTGATCTTCGTATCCGCCTCGTCAATGTGAGACGAGCGGACCTTGTCGGGAGCTTCCGGCCCAAGGCAGCAGCAGCACGCATTTTGCTTTCCTCGCTTGGAAGATCTACGGAGCAAGCGCAAACAAGAGCGCCCGAGATGGCACTGCAAGCTGCGGGGAGTCTTGGCTCGATCCACAAGAGCCACGAAACGAAATGCGAGCGGGCGATCCATAGCGTTTCTCTGCGATTCTTTCAATCTACCTGTGGTGTGTTGCGTGCTTGCTTGCTTGTGCGCCTAGAGCATACGAAAGGCCGGAAGCTGGACACGTTTCTAGGGCTCTAACGAGCAAAGAGCTTTCTTTCAAGCAACCGCTGGATTTCCTTTTCAATCCCACTTTATTTCTGGAACATCTTAACATGAAATATTTCACCCGAAAAGCCACCGCTTCAAGCCGAAAGAAGTTCCAGAACTTGCAAGGTGCGAAATCATCTAACCAAGGAACTGTCATCTGCAGCATTTGCCGCATTGAGGCAAATGGACTTAAGTTATCTTTTTAGATCCTTTATTATGTTTGGAGATCTCTCTAGGATGGACATATGTCTACAAATAAGAAACTCTTTCTTGTGGCTTAGATCTTCGTTTTCTTTCAGCTCGAAAAGCATTATATGGCATCAGCCTCTACAACATTTGGGAATGCTTTCAGCTACTCTGGGAAGCTTTTGAATTTACAAAAAAGATTTAAATTCATCCTTGGATCGTTACAATTCATGGTTTATAAGCTCTCAAAACCTGATAGATTCAGTTTAACACGCTAGAGGAATTAACCTGGTGATCAGTGAAGCTGGTGGCAGTGATGGTGATCGGGTTTGAGTCCCTGTTCTTGCATGAGAAGCAAAGCTTCCGCCATCTTGGCTCTCGTGGGTCGCCCCACACAACTCCTGATTTACGTCCGCCTGCCTGCTTGATCCGAGCTACCTCCATGCAAGCCCCGTCCAGCTCGTCCAGAAACTGGGGATGGAAACCAGCAAAAAAATCCATGTCCTCGGTCCGCTGCCTATCACCAGCTACGACGGCCCCCAGCACGGAGAATCCCTGCGAAAGACAAGCCGGGATTGAGTCGAAAAGTATAGAAACGAACAAACCTTGGTAAAACCCCTGACGCGATAGATCTCTACTCGCTCCGAGCCACTCAAGGCGGCAGCCTGTGCCTGGCGCGCTTCAGGAGACACGCCCCACACGATTTTGTAAGGAGCGACGATGGCTTCGAGCGTCAAGAAGGTGTCTTTCAGCTCTCCAGCGTCCATTTTTTCAATGCTACGGTAATCGCAAGTATCCAGTGCCTCCGCACCGTCGGCAACGAATGTCAAATCCTCACCAGCTGCTGCCCTCTCCTTGAGAAACTTTTGAAGCCTTGCCACCCGTTTTCTTACATTTTCATCCTCCATGTCTTCTTTCATTCTCTGGAGCGCCTCGAGAGCCGGGTTGTGCTCGTCCGCGCCCGAGTATGCAAAGCGTAGCCCAACAAGCAGCCATTCCAGCAACAATGCCGGCGATCTGACACTCTGCATGCTCCACAAGCAAACGATCAGTCTCTCCGGACCACTCGCATAGACCGTGGGCATAGCCTGGGATGATCGGGAAACGATGTCGTGCTGCTAACAGGCATACAAATCCACCATCGATGTTTCCTCGTCTCCAGTTGAAACCGCGAGTGTCTGACTGAATCGCCATGGCTCGTTCCAAGCTCTTAACCTTCAGAACCAACGTCACATGTAAATCCTATCGCACGGGATTGATCATAGCAGCTTCCAAAAACAACGTCGTGGATCAAGGTGCGCGTAGGCGGAGATGATACAGTGGAGGCATCTTGGCAGCAGATCAAGGCGCTCAACTGCACCAACCAGGTGACCATCCTTAGGAAAGTCTTTTTTTTTTCGTGGGATCACCCGACATGGATAAACTGCTGTGGCACTGCCTGTCTCTTGAACCCGAGCAAGAGCTGCTCGTTGTCGGCCCCAAGGGCACCGGGAAAAGCTGCCGGTTAAGGGCAATGGCTGCGGCGCTCTATGCGAGTGGTCCGGAGAGACTGATCGTTTGCTTGTGGAGCATGGAGAGTGTCAGATCGCCGGCATTGTTGCTGGAATGGCTGCTTGTTGGGCTACGCTTTGCATACTCGGGCGCGGACGAGCACAACCCAGTTCTCGAGGCGCTCCAGAGAATGAAAGAAGACATGGAGGATGAAAATGTAAGAAAACGGGTGGCAAGGCTTCAAAAGTTTCTCAAGGAGAGGGCAGCAGCTGGTGAGGATTTGACATTCGTTGCCGACGGTGCGGAGGCACTGGATACTTGCGATTACCGTAGCATTGAAAAAATGGACGCTGGAGAGCTGAAAGACACCTTCTTGACGCTCGAAGCCATCGTCGCTCCTTACAAAATCGTGTGGGGCGTGTCTCCTGAAGCGCGCCAGGCACAGGCTGCCGCCTTGAGTGGCTCGGAGCGAGTAGAGATCTATCGCGTCAGGGGTTTTACCAAGGTTTGTTCGTTTCTATACTTTTCGACTCAATCCCGGCTTGTCTTTCGCAGGGATTCTCCGTGCTGGGGGCCGTCGTAGCTGGTGATAGGCAGCGGACCGAGGACATGGATTTTTTTGCTGGTTTCCATCCCCAGTTTCTGGACGAGCTGGACGGGGCTTGCATGGAGGTAGCTCGGATCAAGCAGGCAGGCGGACGCAAATCAGGAGTTGTGTGGGGCGACACCGTGTGTTGCTCCACCAGTTGAGCTGGAGCCACAGGAAGTCTCTTCACTTTTGAAAGACGAGGAAGATTGGCAGAGGGTGCTGCTGGAGTTTGTCAACGGACGTACAATGTCTTCCATCCGTAGATCAGTCCAGGAAGTCGTTCGAAGATTGGACGATGTAAAAGCTAGATGCGATTTACACTGCAAAACGCAAACGATCGGTAAGGATCCACGGTACTCACTATCAGAAGATGTTTAGGGAGGAGTTTCGAAAGGCCCTGAGCTGTCCTCAGCAGGAGCATCTAGCATGGTGGAATATGCAGGTATGTACGACCGCCTTAGAAGGAATGGGATAAACACAACGACTCTAATGCATGATGGAGCAATGATTGTTCTTTTGTTTCGTTGTAGTTATGAATATCAAAGTAATATTTTTTATTTTTTATTTGCTTAAACAAACCTGTAGAAGGACTGAAATGTTTAAAATATGCTTGGATATTCTAACATTTAATGGTTGTTATTCATTTAAATTAATTTGTATTTATAATTTATGAACATGTTTATAATTTATAAACTTTCTTAAACACTTTCTAGTATATTCTTTTTTATTCTATTATCTAATGGTTGATATGCAATAAGATTAATCTTGTATTTATAAATTATAAACATTTTTATAATAATAAAAATTTATTTTGGATTATAAGTAAGAATATAAACAAACCAAGCATTGCTACATGCAACGCATAGCAAATTTTTAACTATTGTTTAATATTCATTACTTGCAACTGATTCCTGGATTAGATGCTGCCTGAGCCAAGGCAAAGTTAAGAAATAAAAAGTCTACTGTTTTTATTGGTGGATATTCTATAAATATTATTTGATTTGTGTAAATCTTATTCTAGCAGGAAATATTTAAAAAGATTGAATATAATAGTGTTCAACTTGGCCATTGTAGTTCCAATCCCAGCGACCACCATTCTTACCTTGGCCCTGGACACACTGGTTAATAATATTGTTGAAAGCTTCCTGAATATTTGAAACAGAAATAAACATAACATATAAATATAAATCATTTAAAGAACTATATTATAAAAAGAAAACATTACCACACAATGCTGTCTGCTATTGCCATCAAAATGTGCTTGGATTTGCTTTCGGAGCTGGCTGTTAGGATAGTTACCTAAGTCAAGAGTGTAATCAAATTGCCCCTCATAACAAATTTTCCGAGCAGCTTGCTGATATTGGTAATTAGTATAGCCAGGATTGGGATTTCCAAAACAATCAGCCCCATTCACTATCACAACTCCCACACAAACAAGAAGAACTAAAATGAAGAACACTTTACAATCCATTTTGTGCAAATTATGAGTCTATAACCTACCTTTGTGGATCCAATATATGTACATGCATGGAGTATACAAATCAAATGTGTCACGGCACCGTTCCTGATGAGATTTAATTTTATAAACAAAGAAGAATGCAATGCCAATGAGAACTCAAAAGCTGGGATTAAATTTCCGTCTATAGTTTTAGGTCGACCTATAATATCTTGAATTTACAAACGAATAAAAGGGTTAGGAGCGATATATAATTGTTAATAAAGTTGATGGGCATTTGGTCTAGGGGTATGATTCTCGCTTAGGGTGCGAGAGGTCCCGAGTTCAATTCTCGGAATGCCCCCCATTGAAAAGTAGCGCTAACTTTTCTACGCATTACAATTTCGTTTGCTTCTTGTCTCACGTTCTGTGCAAGTTTCTTACCTCATATGAGGTAAATGGTAAACTGAGGAATCTGATGGAAGCTAGGCGGATCTTGTTGGCCTCCTCAGCTGGTCGATGTTTCTCTGCGAAGCCAAGATGGTTGCCCGTGGAACGCAATGGTTTCTGCATATGCCCACAAAGGGCATTACAGGAGGCGGAAGTTCTCTTTTTCCAAATGCCTACGAACAGCGAGTTTTTTATTAGACAAGCGCAAAATTTGTTTGATAGAACGATGAGGGATGGTGCCTTTTGGAGCGCCATCGTTTCAGCACTTGCCCAAAACGGGCAAGTTCTACGTGATCTCGTCCTTGCGGCCGTAAATCCTTTAGTAACAGAGGTAATCTCAGGGAATTTCTTACAAGATACCGATGCGAAGCCTGCAATGCTCTTGGCATATGCTCAAGCGCGATGATAGCTCAAAACGTTATGATGATGTTTTTCCTTTCTTTAGATTCGAGGAATCTTTTCCGTCAGCTTCTTCTTGACAGCACATGCCCAGAACGTCGAGGTGAAACACACATTTCCATGCTTTCGAGAAATTCAGTAACGTGTTCTATCACAAACTGGTTTGGATCAAGAAAAGAAACTCCTTACCTGTCGAGATCTTCACAGGCATGGCGGTGGGAAGCGTCGAGTCAGACGAAGGGAGCTACGTTGGATTCACGCCGGAAAAACTTACGCTGGTCGATCGAGCTTCGTCTCCATGAGCTTCGATTTTGGAATGGAGCCGAGAAAGAAGCACGACTGCCGCATGGTGAATCTCCACTGGTAGATTGAAAGAATCGCAGAGAAAAGCGATGGATCGCCCGCTCGCATTTCGTTTCGTGGCTCTTGTGGATCGAGTCAAGACTCCCAGTGCCATCTCAAGCGCTCTTTCCTGCGTTTGCTTCGGAGATCTTCCAAGCGAGGGAAGCGAAATGCGTGGGCCGGAAGCTCCCCGCTCGTCTCACATTGATGGGGCGGATACGAAGATCACGACGCAAGATGGTGGTGTTCATGCTGCTTCTCTCATGAGTAGAGGTAGAGAAGAAGGAGATGCAAAGATTGCCACAGCAACAACCTGAGCGGCGCCACCAACACGCTCGAACAGATGCAGCAGATCTGGTTGTCAGGTTCGATCATGAGCCTCATCGATACCACCAGCAGATACCTGTGTTATCGGGACCAGCAGCTCTTTGGAGCTTGCAGCTCTTGGCTTTTTCTTTGTGGATTCTTCCTCTTTTTTTCTGTTGTTTTTCCTTGCGGTGGTTTATCGTTGTTGTCTGTGGCGACTTCCAACTTGAACGCAACATCTCTTGGTCACAAGGTTTGCTTGTTGAGAGTTTGACCTTTTGATGATATGCTCGTTTTTTTCCTTCTTTTGTTTTTCTGTTGCTGCAAACCACTTGGCGAGCCTTTTGTCGTCGCCCTTGCTTGTGGTGTGGCCATGCTCGTCATAACCGAGCTTTCTTCCGCTTCGATGTACAACTTCGGTTTGGTTTCCCTGCTGCGATCTCATCAGTCTTTTCGTTTTTTTCATTCGCTTGTTCTTTTTTGCAGTATTTGTTGGAGAGAAGAATTTGGCACTCGTTCCTGCAGCTGCGAGCTACGTAAGTTTTCGCGAGTGTATTATTCTTTTGCTCAACTATGTGTCATGTGGTTCTTCTTTAGATTGGCAATGGTTGCGCAGAGTGCAAGGTTGGTTTATCAGTGATCCTTCGGTTACAAGTAGATTTTGTTTCTTCTCTTCGACCTTGTTTTTTGTCCAGTTTAGAGTCCGTTGAGAGCATTGCTGGTTGCAACCGTTGTGAATGGCGCTGGAGATGTTTTGCTGTGTACATTTCTTGGGTATGGAATCGCTAGTGCTGCATGGGCAACATCGCTGTCGCAGGTGTGGTGGCCTTTTTTTGGTTCTCTTTATATCTATTCTCATGCTTCATGGACGCCAGTATGTTGCAGGATTTCTCATGCTCAAGGCTTTGAAAGCAAAGGATTATGATCCTCTGGCAGTGGCCGTGCCACGCATGAAAGATCTCACGCTCATGATCGAGATTGCTGCTTCGAACCATGCTCTCCAAGGTGTGCAAATGAACTTTAAAACTTTCAAAGTGAAACTGATCGAGTTTCAGGTATGTTTCTACACAGCCATTACACCCTTTGTCACTTCTCTGGGAGCAATTACACTAGGAGCACATAAGGTTTTGTTTTTATTTGATTTGGAATTGATAAATTTTTTTTTTGTTCTCCAGGGCTTAGACAAACCATTGGGTCAAACAGCACAATCTTTCATGCCGGAGCTGATCTCTGGAAAAAATCGTGATATGAAACAGGATCGCAAATTAAAAAGAACAAAAAACAAAGCGTTCCAAAGCATTCCATTCTTTCCCACAGGCACAAACTGCTTCGATCACTCCTCATCACTGGAGCAGTATTTGGACTTGCGCTAGCCATCACCGGAAGCAGTCGCGTTGTTAGCTCTGCAGCTCTTCAACCGTATCTTCTTGTTTCCTTTGACGCTAAAATATTTTTTCTGCAGATGCACTCGCTGTTGCTACCATTATTTTGGACCATTTTAGTGACTCCGTCTACACTTACAGTGGAAGGAACTCTTCTGGTACGTAAAAATTTCTCGACCAATTAATTCAGATAGGGAGAGATTACAAGTACCTTGCTGGTAAGTAGAACCCCTCTAACTCGAAGCTAACTCTAACAAGTTAAATCATGAGTTTTCAACTCTTTCACAAGCTCTTTCACAGCCTAAAAAGCTGCTGGTGGACTTTGGTCCTCTTTTTATTGGTACCGCTTCATCCTTTGGAGATTGACCGCATTGTGTTTTTCTTGCAGGCCCGCTTGTCATTCTCCATTCTCCAATCAGCTTCTTAGAAGTTATGTCTTGTGGCCTTACCACATTAACAAAGGTGTGCTATAGGAGTTGAGAGCTGGGAAATAGACTTATACTTGAGTACAGTATACATGAGATCTTTGATCTCACGTTTGTCAAGTGTGGTCAAGTTTTGCCAGTAGAATATATTTTAGACAACATTTTACTACTACCAAAGGAAAATGATATAGCATGGGATGCTCACAGAGCTTGAAACATATAAAAAAAGAGCTTGAGAAGCAGAGAACATATTGTAAATAAGACAGCAAATCATTAGCTATAAACACAAACTTTAAATATACTTTTTTGGAATGTTTTACCAAAAATTACTTGTTTTATGTTATCCTCTGACCTTTTACAAAGCCCACTCGTCCTCAAGTTCTTTTTTATATTTTTCAAGCTCTTGGAGTAGCCCACACTGGACAAGAATAAACTCCCTTTCCAGCAGTTGGACCTGTAATAATAACAATATACTAGTCAGAAATCAAAACTCAGACAGAGAGAGCGAGAGTATAGTCACCTGAGTTGGCAACCCCTACTTGTCGGTATGCATCCATTCTGAAAGGGAAACTGAAAGTCAGTTTCAAAGGAGTAACAAAGAAAAAACGCATGAACCGGGTAAGTAAAACGTTTGTCTCTTGCTTTAGCTCCCTCAGCTGATGAATCTGTTATATTTTTATCATAATGTTGCTCGTGAAATTTGCAGCACGTACCTGGCTTTCAATGTCCACTTCATCAACAGCAGTAGAAGGACCAGGATCCAAAGTATCTGGCACCGTTCGCATGCTGTTGAAACCGACGCAATTTCCAGCTTTCCAAAACTGGGTACAGCAATTATGCTGTGGGGTACTGATCATGACAACTGCATCATCGTCCATGTCCTGGTCTGACAAGAAATCTAGGAAATCTGCAGGCATGCACTTGATCTTTGGCTTCTTATTATGCCGATCACCGTTGCCTCCGCTCCTGCCAGCTCCTCTTTTCCTAAACTTACCTACTTTCTCTGGCTGGGACTGGCATTGTGCTCATCCTTCGCCTCCATACCCCTACAATCCCCCCCAAACCCTATAGAACAGACTACGAGAACGCAAAATGTTGCAGACTACGAGAATTCAAAATGCTGCTATTAAGTTTTCGCCAATGGAAGAATTTGTTAAATAAACGATAACAAGAACTTCCACCACCAAAGAACCAATGAACAATACTAATAAAATAGCTCTTCAAGCTTGAGTGGCGAGTCGATCCATCGGTGGTGGTGGCACCATCCCCTTCACTCAGCAGCTTGCTCATGGAGGCATCTTGGCAGCAGATCAAGGTGCTCAACTGCCAGGATCTACTCAATCCTAACCAGGTAACTACGATTTGCATACTCGGCCGCGGACGAGCACAAGTCGGTTCTCAAGGCGCTCTAGAGGATGAAAGAAGACGTGGATGAAAATGTAGGTGAGGCTTTGAAAGTTTCTCAGGGCAGCAGCTGGTGAGGATTTTACATTTGTAGTTGCGGTGTGGAGGGACTGGTGGCATTATAAAGTGGACGTTGGAGAGCTGAAAGACACCTTCTTGACGCTCGTCGCAAGTTATGTGGGGAATGTCTCCTGAAGCGTACCTGGCAGAGGCTGCCGCCAAGTACAGATCTATCGTGTCAGGCTAGTCTTACCAAGGTTTGTTCGTTTCTATACTTGTCAACTCAATCCCGGCTTGTTTTTCGCAGGAACAAAGAGAAGTTTTTCTTCTTCACTCCATGCTGGGGAGCCATCATAACTGGTGATATGCAGTGGACCAAGGACATGGATTTCTTCGCTGGTTTCCATCCACTTTCTGGACGAGCTGGACAGGGCTTGCATGTAGGTAGCTCGGTTCAAGTAGGCAGTTGTGTGGGCATATGGAGGAATCAAATTGAATATTTGACACGATGGTTGACAGCATATGCCCAGAACGTAAGCACACATTTCCATGCTTTCGAGAAATTCAGTAAGGTGGCGGTTTTATCACAAACTGGTTTGGATCAAAAAAAGAAACTCCTTTACCTGTCGGGATCTTCGTAGGCATGACCAATGAAA